TTAAGCAACCCTGCAAAATTCTTTCTTGCCGCCTCCTTGTTCTTGCCGCCCTATTTGCCAGTTTGATCTCCAGTTGTGGGAGAAGTCAAGATTCGATCTTGACATCASTTCTTTGAGAAAGAATTGATAGGAAGCTGTGCTCACGTGCCATCCTGCTGTTTCTTGTGAAGGACAGAATTCTTGAAGAAGAATACTGCTGATTCTGCTCCATCCTGCACTGTGCCATCTTCAGTGGGAGCAGTCTTTGGATCCTTCCTTGGGTGTGAACACCTTCATTGGGGGATACTATTTCTCCGTATCAGGTATAATCCTCTCCTCCTTTTGGTTCAGATCTGGTTCAGTTTATGGTTCAAGATTAATCTTTGAAAATATGATTTTCTAAATAGGGAATGCGATTCCAGTTGAAGGGAGAGAAAAATTTTTTGAAATTCGCCCCCTAATTCCGCAAGATTTGGGCATCCATACGATGGATCTCTCATCCCTTCACTTTCCAATGTTCAACTGCTACAACCTAGTTGTAATACTTAGGAATGTTTGTGGAGGACAAAACAACAGAAAAAGAGCTATGATTGGAAAAGAAGCCATAGCGGTTAGGTGGGCGAGAAATATGAGATGAACAACGCAAAGGATCGGGTGAAGGCATATCAACAAGATGAGAAGTGGAACTTACAGTAGTGATGGGTGGAGAAGAATGACTAGTCACTGGTGCTAGAGGTAGAGGAAGCATAGGAAATGAGTAAGCTGGATGCTTCTTGAAATAAACCTGAAGTTGTTGAGACATAGGAGGAGGATCACCTGTAGAGCCAAATTGATGCAGAATAGGAAAGGATGGTGCAAGGAATTTACTAATATGTTCAAAGAAGGAAAGGTTCTCAAGAAAAATGACATTATGAGATATCCACACTATATCCCATGAATGCACACAAAACTGATTGAGCTGTTAGCTTTGTGCACTTTTTTTTTTTTTTTTTTTGATTGGAAACGATAACTTCATTAAATAACTTTAAAATAACTTTCTAGATTTAAGTACAACTGTCAACCCCTAAGTAGGTGTTGAGCCCCAGATGTCTTTCTTACAAAACTGCCCAGAACATACTCTCCCTCACAGTCCCTTGTTTAGCCAATGTGTCAGCTAAACCATTAGCTGATCTCCTTGTCCATTTGAAGCATGCACCGATCTCCCTTGTTGTATTGTGGATTTTCCTTATGGGCTGTCTATAAATCCAGGCTCCCAACTTACCAGATTGCAGCCACTCGATCAACAATTTAGAGTCTCCCTCAATCTCAATTTGGTGGTTTGTGCATTCGGGAGGAGGAAGGTGGACAAAGCAAACACAACCAAAGACACAAAGCATGGATAGATTTGGTGGATGATGAAACTTTTAGAATATGCAGAACAGGGCCAGGCAATACTTCCTTTCAAGTTTTACCACAAACAGGGGCCTTCGAAGAGA